CCCCCTTTTATTCTCTTCCAACATGACAACGCGATCTCTCTCTCTCTCTTTCTCTGGCACTTTGCTTGTGCGCTCGTGCCGAAGTTTCGCGCGTCCAAACCAAAGCGCACGGTTCTGACTCAGAAAGCGCTCCCGGAAACAGCAAAAACGCCACGAAATGCGTCACATCCGCAGCCGTACGACCTACAGGCGCAAAAAGAAGCGTTGGTTTGGATCGCGCTTTATACTCCGACGTAGCGCGTGCGCGCGCGCGAGCGCGTCACAACGACGTCACGTCGGCGAAAACCCGACGCTCCCCGGCGTTGTGGCGTAACCGACGCGACCGGCGGCGTTCGACGCAGCCTGACCGCCTCGACGCCAAAACGGAGCATGCCGTATTCCACGCCGGCCGCGCCAGCGACGCCGGACCGGGATGCATGCATTACGCGCTGGCTCCCGGCAGCCCTCACGCGGGAAGCGCGGCGAATACGAGCAATAGCAGACGACAGGAGCAGCACTCCGTGTGGCGTGGCGTCATGCTTGAAGGATCGGACTCGGTCGTCGAGAAGCTCATCGAGGGAATTCGTCCTCAACCTTGTGTCTACGACACGAGGAAGCGAGTACCGTAGACCGGGCTCTTGTAAAAGATCTACCGTATGTACATTGACCGCCTACGCTTGCGGCGCAGGCGGTGCACCAACAGTGCAAGCGCGAGTTTTCGTCAGGCAAGGTACGTCCACGCCATCGCTCGAACTTGGCGCTCAAGAAGCGCGAGAATTTTCGTCTGCTATTCGAAACGAAAAGGAACCGGAAGTGGTGCACTCTCACAGGAAACGTGCCCTCGTAGTCAGATTCTGCGCATGCGCCGCGCCGGCGGCCCACCGACGCAAGCCGCGGGAGCCGCCAGGGCCGCCGGAGTATAAAGGCGCATTCAAACAGCGGAAAGACGCGCGTCGTGGGGGGAATTTTTTGCTTATTTTTGTATTGAAAAAAGTCGCGCGCCGAGGAGGACGACGCAGGGAGACGACGCCTCGGAACCCAATTTCTCCCACGACGCGCGCGCTTGAGCCAATCAGCGAGCGTCCGGACGTGACGTGTTCCCTTTTCCGGTTGGGACATGTTTTCGCTGTTTTTTTTTATTTTCGACTCACAATGAAGGCGAAAAGGCAGAGAGCTCGGGGGATTGTGCGCTCGCCAAACGTGGCTGGAAGTATTCCAGCGTGGAAAGAAGCAAGCCGATTGGAACATCTGACTGTGAGCAGTGTTTTATGTGCGTGTACGACGCTGTGAAGCTACTCTTCATCGTTTGCGCGAAGCTGCCGCAAAAGCTGCCACCGAAGTTCGCGGTGTGTTCCGACCTCCGACTGTGCGGGAGCGATCACTCCCAATGTGTTGTGTAATTTTGTGTACACCCATCACTACGGAATACAACAGCCCTCCATCGAAAACACTCTCGCACAGGCTGCGTGCAGTGTTAAAGGTACGGACGCGAAGGCTCTGGGACGCGCCGGCGTAGCACCGTGCTTTGTTTGCACAAAAACGCGGCAAAAGAGCACCTGAAGCTGCTCGTTCGAGTCCGTGCCTTTCGCCAATGCTGCAAATAACCGGAGTGTAAACGTATATATAATCATCACCGTTGTCCATTCAGTGAAGACGGTTGTCTCCCACCGCATATGCAATCGCGAAGGCAAGGCAACAACAATCGTGCGAAGCAGACGAATACAAAATTCCGTGTTCTCTCGACAAAAGTGAGATTCCCCGAGACGACGCCGCCGTTTGGGTGAACCTGTGTGACTGCTTCGTATTTTACGACGCCGGCGTCGACGTCGACCGCAACGCGCGTTTTTTGCTCAGTGTGAATGCGCCTTAAGAGGGCGAATTTTTGACGCGCGCGGCGTAACTGACGTGACGTAGCCGACTTCGGCCAGCGTTCTCTTGCGCGCGCGTTACGTCGGAGTATAACAGAGCCTTTAAGAATTCGTAACGTAACTTAACGTAAGAAATGGCCCAGTATGAACGGCCTTTACGTTTCGAACTCGGTTCCGCAGTCGTTGTCAACACTTCGACACTTTAAAGGGGCCCTGCAGGAACTTTTTGACTGGTTTTTAATTTGTACCGAACCTGAGCACACTGAACGTAGTAACTTAATGAAACTTTTCGTTTCTCAAATTTCGCTTTATTTTAAAAGTTATAGGTAAATTATAATTACAAAAACAACCAAAAATAACCTCCTTCATGACGTCGTAGGTCCTGGCTTGAGTGGCCGTGAACTAGAGGAGGGGTAGTGAGCTCATCGAGCGTTCACGGTTGCCGCACTCCGGGTCGACGGCTCGAGAGGGCGCCACTAAAGTTGGATAGGCTGTAGGAAGCGGGCGGCCAGGGCGGCTCGCATTGCATTTGCTGCGCGATTAAGCACTTATTCGGCATAACTCTTCACTGAAATTTTGTTACTCTCTTCACTCCCGCGGGCTTGCCCGAACCCCAAGAGATGTGGAAACCGCAAAAAAAAATAGACGCTTCAGTATGATTGCAGGGCCCCTTTATAAAGATAGAAGCCAAATTGACTCCCACCTTTCGCGTGCAAAGTGTCTCATTGAACTCATTGCCACGCGGCATTCGAAGCAGGAACCTCGGCTTTAGAAATTCTTAAGCAGCTTACATTTCATTTGTGCAAAATCAATACGTAAAGTGCTCAACCTTCCTTTTTCAACAGCGCAATTTTTTTTTAATCCCTACAATTTGTTTACAAAATGGGTAACATATTTGTCTTTTAGATCTCATTAATCGCCTGCATTGTTGCGTCTGTTACATAACTTAAAATCTCTAAATTTCTGTTTCGTGCTAACTCTCTTTGAGAGTCGCCAAAATTGCAATTACCTCAACCAAAACGAAAGAAAAACTAAAGCTTGCGCACGGTGTGATGATAGCCCCAAATATTCGCACCTAGCCCTTTAGATTTTGTCGACGGCTAGAGAAAAGAAGGTAATTTTCTTTTTACAGCGGAGCTGTTTATGGTCTGGGGTTTCGTGGAATTTTCGTGTGCGTCAACCAAAACTCAGAGTGCTCGCGCTGCCCTCTCTTTGTCGTGTTTCCAAACCGCTTGCGTGCCTAGTTTCCTATCCTTCCCTTCACGCGTGTCTAGTTTCCTTTGGATCCTCGAAATGTGTGTGCGTACCTTTCGGGACGATGACCACCAATCAAGACAATAAATGTGTTCGCACCATTGTTTAAAATTCTGTGCCACGTCTGCGTCCTGTGTTAAACAGCTTTGCTGGTCATCCACCTTCACAGAGTGGAATGGCTCATGATCTTTTTATTATAAGGACCTTTGTCCGCCTGAGTGAGGTTTCCACTTCGTGGCTTAGGTGGGCGTTCCAGCTTCGTGGCTTAGGGCAATTGAAAGCGATGTTAAAAATGTTTATTCTCACAGTGAGGCTCGCTTTTGTACATTAAGTTGTATAAACAAAAGAAATACATTAAGACAAACATGCACTTTTAACAAAAGCTTCTATAGCTTTCTTTGAGAACACGTATGTGGATTATCTTCTTTTGCTTTTGATGATCAATGAATCTCGATATTGAAACAGTTGCCCTTTTTCGTCTCACCATAATAACTTATCCGCAGCGTTAATGATTGCTCGTAAGAACCCAAAGATATGAACTCACTCGGAAATAGAAAACACAGGGCGCCAACCCTGAGGTGAGGTCGCTTAACCCCAGCATGTCAAGGCAAAACCGCGAAGGTTCAGAATGCATAGAGGTTTCGCGTGCAGTGCCCTGCTTTTCGCTCAGAGCTCTCTCACCACCGATTGCATATGAACCTGGGATTATAAATTTAAGCAGGTCATTCACTCGAAAAGAAATAGATGCATTTGCTGTCCGTTTCAAACGCGAAAATGTGTGTCGCCAAGACATTTAGGTTTCGTTTGTACGCTTACACAAGCTGGGACATATCGCGTCACATACCATTCAAGGAAAACAGTTATCATTGTAACCTATGACACTATCTGTTATTTTCATCCAGAAACAGAGAGTTTGTAACACGCGGAAAAAGAATCTTATTTGGTTGCCGTCGTAGGCCTTATTTAGCTCACGTTTGAACAGTAGAGCTGTCACCTGATCGTAATAGAGGCGTAAATGCTTTACTCTATGCCATTCTATTTTCACTCTTTTTGCGTTTTATCTTCCTTAATGGGCGTAGTCAGATTCGCAGCATCCTTGTTGACACCAAAATGCAAGTTGAAAAAGGAGCACGATGATTATACCAGTCAAACAAAGTGGAATAAAAAACCAAAACATTTGTTATAAATACGAGCCAGCAGCGGCGCCTTAAAGAAATCTCCACAAACGAGAGTACTAAGCGTTACACCTCCGTCTCCGGAAGTTGTAGCTGCACCGGTAGCGCTTTTAAACTCTTTCGCGGTTGCGAATGTGAATTGATCAAGCTTTCTGTAGCGTGTGTTCTCGTGGTTTATTAAAACTACCGTGATGTACTTCTTATTTTCTTGGAGAGCTCGCGTGAAAATGTCTTCCAACAAGGATAACTTACAAAACACTCGGCTAGCTATGAACGATGGGTGTCATGAGTGAAGTTCCTACGTGTGGTACGAAAACACAGAATCAGGCACTGCACCTAATACAACACACATAAATGAAATAACGCCCCGCACTCCTCTCAAGAGTTCGAGCGAATCAGAGTTCATCAAGCACACACATTAAAGACGAAGTCTGCGATGCGCACAGATGAGTTGTTACCCAATGCCCGAGCCCCACTAGAGCGACCAACAGAAACAGCCGACAACGACAAGCCTCAAACGCGTGCGGCATGCACGCCAAGCTTTCTTTGGCAGGCTTGCGGTCACTCGTGCTTACTTCACGAGCAAAGAGGTCCTGCAAGCCTACCAAAGGCACCATCGCGTGCATGCTTGACGTGTTTTTCGGTGTCGTTTGCTTCTGTTTTTTGGTCTACTTCGACCCGGGCACACAAACGACGGAGCAGACTCGGTCTAACAGGGTGCGAGTCAGAGGGCTTCCACGTCACTGGGCGACGAAAGCTGCTTGAGCGAACTGCAACTGTGCTGCAGAGAGAGCGGCGTCGGCGAAGGACTCCTGGTGGCTGGCCACGACCGCAGTTCGCCCAGGTCTGACGATCCTTTGCGGCGTTCAACGTCCGACATCTCGCTCCCTTCTGACCAGGACGGCTGCACAACGGGGGCGGAGTTCTTGTCAGAGACGCGGTTGCTCTTTCGCAGCACCCCTCCCGTCGCAGCGGCCGTCGAAGCGGACGTCACGTCGGTTGATGCCCTCTGGCGGGTCTTGTTTGCCCAGGATTCGCCAGGACAAGACATGCCCCAGGACCGGGACGGACTGACGGGGCTCGGGCACGGACTGAGGTTATCCGGGAGGTAGGGTTCGATCGAAGACGCGATGGACGCTCGGCCAGCCGGGTTGTAGCCGCTGTGGATCTCGGCAGTGGACGTGGACGCCCCTGGGCAGTCCATGCTCTCGTCGCAAAGCTTGTTGGCGTATGGGGACAGCGGGGAGGGCGGAGCGTCCAGGAAATCGTCGGCCTTTTTCCGACCCATGGACTTGAAGATCTCCTCGTCTTTGAAACTGCGATGGAGACCGTCCGCGCTCGATAAACGCAGGGTATAAGCTCGCCATGTTGACAATCCGTGATACTGCAGAGTATCCTTGCTGATAACGAAAATAAGCTTTTTCTGAATTGCCTCACTAAACAGTGGGAAATCTAATAATGACGCCTGATTAAATATCTAAGCAGTGAAACGTTTCAGACTTAGATCATGGGAATTGCATGTGAGCACAGCGAGATGCTGGGTATTCACAACACTTTAACAAAAGACGCCAGGTGGCGCAAAAAACAGCAAAAAACACCAGGGAGAGCAATAGGGTGCTATCGCCTATCTTAGCCCGTAGCGAGAACTAAAGCAACCTAGCAACCGAAATGTGAAAAAAAAAGAAAGAATAGTAGGCAGGCGGTGCTCATGATTTTAGAACCTGGGCTATGATGTTTATTCAGGTACCGACTTATCCATTGTTATGTCTCTCCTCGGAGATAGCAGAGCATTTAAAAGGTGCTTTTTTCAGTTCTTTTGCAATGGATTAATATTTTTTGTGATATCGGTACGTAGAAGAAGATAAAAAGCAGCCACATGTTTGTTGATCCTTCTTGATATATGCTACTAATAATAAATACCTTTTAAACTCAGTAGTTGCCTGAGCGGAGGACAGAGGGCGCAAACGCATTCGCCAATATTAGGCTGCTTCAGTTTGATTGGTTTCGGTTTCAACGTTCACGCGGATGTGTTGCTGTTTTATGTCACTTTCGCTTAATTTCGTTTTACAAATATGCCTTTTGTAGCACAAAACCTCTAAAGCAATGGTACTAATACCCAATTCACACGGCAGCGTAAGGGTACCTTTGGCACAGGTACTGTAGTAAGGGGAGCTGGAGATTGTAATCACACGGCGCATAAAGGTCCCTTTCGCGATGAAAGGTCCTGTGTTAAACAGAGCTTGCCAAGCTCCCTTTACAGCTACAGGGAGTAGCCTCAGACCCACGAACTCAAAATAAAAATCACAGATATGTATATATTTTAATGCATTATAATAAATTGAATATATATATAAGTAGCAAATTATTAATTGATTGTGAACAAAAATGTGATGAAATAATACATTAACGAGGAACGCATACTCCAGCTTGCGGGTTGCAGCGGCGGCACGTGGAAAACAATGTCTGCTACGAACCCGAACGCGATTGACCACTGCGAGCTCTTTTTCGAGGTTGTAGACGAGTCGTCCGACTCTCCCGCCCAGGACTTTTTATCCTCGTCGTCGTCCATCCTTTACGATGTCGTGACTGGTGCAACCGTGAAACGCCGACGTGGTTCGTTTCTGCAGGGCACTATTTAGGTACTTCAGTGAGAACAAGAATGAATCTGCTAAACCGAAAGAGGTCGCCCACCTCGCAATGGAAAGTCGTAAACGCAGATGATTTAGGGCCAGTGTGGCCAGAAGGGTCGGGCGTTTTAAAGCAATCCTCATTTAGGTGCGCCCTTAGACTTAGAAAAAAATAAAGTGCCGCAACAGCGAACACAAATTATATTTAAGTTTAGATGTAATATTTCACACACAATTATCAAAAACTGCGGGTCAAACCGATTTCGAGGAATAATTGTTTATCATGTACCCCTCTTGTGGTTTAGCAGGAATGCAATCGACATCAACTTAAAGTGCTCCATTTATTTATCGTGTGTTTAAGAACGCCGTTTACTACAAGTACCTTCAGCTAACGAACCTAAGCTAAAGGTACCTTTGCGCAGCCGTGTCAATATGGAATAAGCCACCTTAATAATGACAAAGTGGTTTCGAGCTTAAATTACGGTCTTCTTTAAGAACACCTTTGATGTATCTGATTATATTTAGTTACTTTCGGCCAGGTTTGGCGCCAAAACCCCTGAACTGATGCACGAACGCTCAACTTACATGAAAAAAAAAAAAAAAGCAGGTTGAGCGTTCAATATCTGTCTCCTCCACGAGCTTCTCCATATAATCAGAAACAACTGTTTTCAATCTGTTATGAATACACAAGGCTATGCTTTCAGAAAACAACTCTCTTTGTCCCCTTCCTCAACAACCTAAATGCGCGACCGTAAATATACCTTGCGTTTCTTATTGCGAATGTCCCACCACTAATAGTAAGCGAACCCGAGTTAATTTTCATAAGTAACTGACCTTTGGATTCTCGTGCTGTGTTAGAATCATCTGCGTACTCAATGAGTGTAAATGAAAACGATGATTTCTATGCTTCGGATAGTCTCCTCACACGTATCCGGCACGCCGACGGTAAACAAAAAGGCACAACGTGTTACAACTTAATTGCAGAAGTTGTTCCATGTGCACATAATAATGTATTGCAATTAGGCAGTAAACGACGTCAGCACGGGGTAGCAACGAGTCCTGCGTGATGTAGCACGCAAAAACTAACTTTCTCGAAGGTGTGAGTGGAGACACCAGCTTGAGCGTCCCTTTCAATTATTGCTTACCGTGCGACTCATGGCGACAGCAAGACTTGGCAAGGACATCCCTCTTCTTCCCCTCTCTCTCTCCCTTACACTCACACTTTTTTCTTTCTTTTTCTCTCACACAAACACACACACAAAATTACTCATATACACATATACACACACACAAACGCACAAAAGACGCCCTCAAGACATGGTGTTCGGTACGTCACCTTTATTTAGTAACTCTGAAGTCAGCTGTTCGAGATGCAGATTACGTCCTATGAAACTATAGTAAGTCCGCATATCGCATGCAGTCTAAGCTGAACACTTCAGTGGTGATGATGCCCACATTTTTCTGTCACCCTACAGAAGCTGCCCCGAGCAAATGCTAATGACGGCACATGTTACCGGCATACACACAGTAGGTAAAGGGCAGAAAAATTGCTTCGAGAAGTCGGCGTCGCCAACATCCTTATTGCTAGGCTAGCTGCCATGTTGAAAACAGTTCATTTGTAAGATCAAGATAACGAGTGGAAATGATTGTCTGGCGCAGTGATATATGTGTGCAGTTTTGAGAAACATTTGCTACTGATTTTTTTAATTACTTGCAAACTTTAAATGGACGTACAATTTAGTAAATGACATTGTAAAAAATATTAACAACTTGATTGTAAATAAACTCTAAGGGAGAGATTACACCCATGAATCGATACAAGGCATTTTTACACATACCAACACTGGCGAATCCCGGAGACTAGCTGACCAGAGAGAAGCTCGTTAGAAGAGACTTACAGACGTTTTTGCAGGTCCGGAAGAAAGCTGAACAGTATCTAGACCAACCCGGATCAGCGTACATGTACTTTTTATAAAAGCACAATGCAAAAAACATGAACGCCTTGAAACACTTCTTCCAAGCAAGGTGGTCGCTAGAATTTTAAAACGGTAGTAATACCTAGGTAACAGGCGCCTCTGGAGAGAGCAGATGTTACACATTTCGAAGTAAGGCTCTGTGCTGTAGCCATAAAAAAATTGAGGAGTGCGTATACAGCCTAGAAATTAGTCTGTTCCAACGGGCGACTTGTCTCCCAGCTGAAGGTGATAAATTTAGCCAATGCAGTACAAACCGGAAGCCTGGGGTCTTTAACGTGCACTACGCAGTAGTGACACACGACCGGACGCCGTACGATGCTGCAGTCCTCACTTCAATAGTACGCAAGTTTTTGTTTGCTTGTTGTAACTGTTTGCATGTCCAATTTTGACGTAGCCGAATAGAGGCGCTATATGCGATTAATTTAATGGACGATTGGAAGAGGTTAGGATTCAGGACAATTCTTAAATAAGTGATAAAGTATGCAGATGTTGACGCAGATTATGCAATGTTGACTATAATAGGTTACAAGTCAAGAAGGTAGCGGCAATGCCCCTGAAAGTGGATCATATATCCCTCCGCCACCTCCGCATCCAATAGCGCCCCAACGTTTCCGTGTACGTCGCGGCAGACGTGCGAGAAGGGTCTTGCCTTTCTGTACATATTTGCTTTATCTTTCGACTTTGACTTAGCATTGTGGAAGCCACGAGAGAGAGGTTAGAGTTTTTCCCCTCCGATGGAAACAAATACGACTTTCCGGGATTAGGTTAACCACCTCCGATGGATACAAAGGCTGATTTCAAGGGCTCGGTTCTCCCTTCGATGAATACAAAGGTCGCTTTCTTAAAAAGTGGGATCGGAGACAAGTTGGCATCACTCTGTAGCCAATATCTATACATTGAAGCGGAACAAGGAGCGTTTCTTCTTTTGACTGCGGAGGGATTTAAAACCGGCGCATCACGCTTGTGGGAGGAGCTTCGCCTACCTTCTTAACTTGTAACCGACTATAGTGTATTAAGAGGATAATGTGACATGAGGTGTTTTTTAAACTTTTGATCACAGTATGAGCAATGAAAAGATGCGAATAAATAATTGTGCTTGTTTTAGGATTTAGCCAGGCAAAACAAATTGAATCCCAGAGTCAATCGTCTGGAAACATTTGCCTAGGTTTGCGCGAGGACATTCCCAACGGATCACGGAGCTCGCTAGCTCTGAAGAAATTCCATTGAATCGCTTCACAGGTACAAAAGTAAGCTTTTATCTGCCTGTGCGAAAAAGCTGGTGAGCATCTCTCCGAATCCTAGGGTTTTGCGGTCAGCTTTTATTTTTTTCGATGAGCGTATCTCCGGTGAGCAAAATTCCTCGGGCGGGCCGACTGCGTGAGAAACATATATTTCGCACACAAAACAAAATGACTTGAAGGCTCGAGCAGCTTGCTTTTCTTCAGATATTTTGGTTTTCTGAACAGCCATAGTGTCGTATTCTTAGTCAGACTATAATCAAAGCAATTGACACTGTTTTCCTTCAACTTAGGCCCTTGCGTTAAACGTGACGATGAAAAATACTTTCAAGGCATAGTTTTTTTACACTATTATACACCGGCAATTCAACACCGTAAAGCAATACGTTCAAAACGAAGCCTAAACCTTAAGTCTTCATTCAGAGTCTTCTTTCCTCAAGTCGTCGGGAGGGATGCTAAGTGTTTCGGCGTATCTTTTACGCTTGGTGACTTCAAGCAACAGCCAATGTTGTTTAAAGCTACAATCATCACTCCCAAAGTCTCGTCGACTAGGCGCTTG